GGGTCGTGGCCGTATGGACCGAAGAGGTCGCTTGAGGCGAGAGCACGATGCCTGAGTACGGTAGGTTTGCGTCGTGTCGACCAGCGGCGACCCCAGCGCGGGCGTTCAAGGTTGAACGCCGCCGGCGACCCAGAATCGATCGATGTTGAACGATCGGACGTTGCGGTGACGGCCGATCGTTCAAGGTTGAACGATCCAGCGCGGTGTCAGGAACCAACGCCAGGGTCGACACGGCACGGACCTGCAGTACAGTGCCATTTTTAATACATGCTCCGCGTGCGGATCCTGTATAAAAAATGCCGGGAGTTAGTATCAAACACAACGATGAGTTCATGCATGCATTTATTCATAAATGAATCATGCATTAAACATCCTATATTTAAAACAAATCCCATGTATTAAAAACTGCCCTGTGAGTTGTGCGGAGGTCTCGGGTGAAACGGCTGCCTTGTGTGGGCGATCCCGGAGTCGGTCCTGGGCTCTCCGATCACCCTGTGGGAAACTCTTGTTGTTTGCTGCCCCTATCGGAACCTCGAAACGCTAGTCGGGCACAGTATCGCAAGTGCGCATGTTCGGGAGTGGACAGAACCCCCTCCATGACATGTCGATTAGTGAATTGTCCGTTTTCGATTCTCGAGTGGGCGCCGCGGCCGTCAGTTTCCAGGCCTGCGCCCACCAGGTTTGGGCCCGAGGTCGTTTTCACTAAACCACGTTTTACTAAAGGGGGTTCTGTCCATCCCCGACTGTGTGTGTGTGTGTGTGTGTGAGAGTGCACGTGTGTATGTTGGGGGGTCGGGTGAGGTGGTGCTGGGTCTGTGGCGAGCCACCCAGCAGCGGTGCCTCGTGAGGGGCTTCGGTGGGGGTTCCAGCTGGTGCAGGTGATCTTGATGCTGTTTTCGCCCCGTTGCTGTCGGGCCAGCCGCTGGTGCCGCCAACACTGATACTGCTACTGCTGCTGCAGACACTGATACTGCTACTACTGCTGCTGCTGCAGCCTCTAGTCAGAATGTGCCACATGAAACTGGGTTACAGATTGCTGGACCACAGGTGTCGGGCCACGGACTGCACGCGTTGGAACGACTTCCGTCAGGAATTGTGGGGGGGCATCATTGCGCTCGTTGTGCATGGTCAGGTTTCCAAAGGCCGTGCAGCATTTGTTCAGGGCAATTCCATCGTGCTCACCGCAGGCTACGGACAGGCACTGGGAAGCAGGTGGAAGTCCACCTCCCAGCGCCTCATTTTCCTTGTGAAGATCTTACAGGCCCAAGTTGCGCAACATACGGTGTCTCTTGAACTCTAAATTTGGTTGCGTTTTTTTCCGAACATCATCATGTTTGTTTACATTCCCGCGTAAGACTTTACATACCGTCCCCTCACAGTTCGGAATTGGCTCTCATCCAGTGGAACGCCCCCGAGCAGTGAATTCGATATGGCCACGGGCTTGCGCGGACGGTGATTCGGGATGGTCGCACGGTCAGCGGAGGCCTCGCGGGCACAGGGACCGTTGAGCCACAGGCCGCGGACTTGCATCTGTGAGCGCCCCCCCCCACCCGTGAGAACCTCCTCTTCCACCACCTCCTCCTCCTCCTCCTCCTCCTCCTCTTCCTTCTCCTCCTCCTCCTCCTCCTCCTCGTCCTTCTTTCCATCTCAACAGGTTTTTCTCGTCCCCCACGTCCCCGTCAAGGATAGGGGGGATCAGAAGGAGCAGCCGTGGCAGGAGGAGTTTCCTCGTGCTCCGCCTGCCCCCCCTTCTTCCTCGCTTGGGGCTTAATAAGCATTACAGCCCCCGGCCCCCCCCCCCCCATAACGTAACGCCCCCCCCCCCCCCAGTGCGCTCCGGGGACCTGCCGCCGTGCGCACGGCGGGGGGGAGGCGTTGCATTATACCCCCCCCTGCCCCCCCCCCCCTATACTGCCCAGTGTCGCCGACAGTAAAGTCACGCGCTCCTGCACGTCTCGACGATCCTCAGGACGTGTGTTAGCCCAATGTGTGTGTGTGTGTTAATCCCTTCAGCCCAACCAGCACACACGTTCTGAGGATCATCGAACGTCGCTCCCCGCGAGCACGACCGATCGCAACCACTTCGGACCGATCGTCAACCACTTCGGAAGGATCGCAATCAGGTTTCGATCATGGAAGAGATTACAATAGCGCTTCTGGGTGCAATGAGCTAGCTCCCTTAAGCCGCCCAATGGGAATCTGAAACAGCGGTTGCCATCGGTCCGATCAATGACGGCCGATCATGATCTCAGCTAAACACATGTACTTGAGTTCGAACGTGTCCATGATCCGTATACGATTCGTATGTGGTTCGTATACGATTGAAACCTACATTGGGCAACAACGCCAGGTGTGAAACAAATTGCGTCTCAGCAGGGGGAGGTGAAGGAGGAGGAGGTCAGGTCAGGTCAGGCATTCCTCGAAAGCTCCTCGTGAGAAGGCTACCTGGGGGGGTGAGGCACATGAGCCACAGCCCAGAGGCCCAAGTGTGGGCCGGCAGAGAACAATTCAGAAGGGCACATAGGCCAGAAGTATGGGTAAACACAGAACACCTTTTACCTCATTCCCTTCTCCTCCTCCTCCTCCTCCTCCTCCTCCTCCTCCTCCTCTTCCTCGGCCTAAGCGCCGTAGGGGGACTGGAGGAGGGCGTAGCACAGCAACCTGCCGCCGCCGCGCTGCCGCCGCCGACTGGGGGAGGAGGGGGTCTCGGCAGAGAACGGCCGCCGCCGACGGTGGACGGCTAGCTTCGAAAGGGGCACGAGCCAAGGCCGATCTGGAGAAAGCAGCACGAGTCCCACTAAAACATCTACCAGCCGATCCCTTCGAACACACCCCGCCACGACCCCCAGGAGACAGAAAACGCGAGGGTGAACCGTCTGTGCAAATCACGCTGCACCAGGACGGGCTCCTGTGGCTGCACAGGCGCGGGATTAGAGAACAGCCCAGCCAACTGTACTGGGACGCGTCTGCGCTCTCTGGAGCGAGCCCGTCTCCTCCTCAACGCCTCAGCTCTGTTTGCGGCAATCCGCTCACGAACGTCCTGGGGAAGAGGCGGAGGCGGAGGCGGAGGAGGATCAGGAGTAGAGGAGGGGGGCACTCCCCAAAGGCAGCACACGACGCCTCCTCAGCTGCGACACCACGCATCGCCACTGAGTGGGTGCCCTCCAGCTCCTCCTCCTCATTAGGCATCCTCCTTCCCTCCTCTGGCCTAAGCACCGCTGAAATTCTAGCTAGCGCTGACATCGGTCAGGGGGCAGGAGGAGACACAGCAACATCAGGCCCCATAGCAGGATCATTTAGGGCAATAGTGTTGGGATCCACAAAGAAACGGAACAACTCTTTGGTCTCAATGGCTTCGTCGGAGCCTTCCCAATCAGACGATTGTCCTAATATCGAGGGAAGAATAGCCTTCAACATAGCAGCCGTATATGCACGCATGCCATGGGAGCAACATCCTTCACCAGGGGTGCTATTACGCAACAGAGCGGGGAGGTCAGGGAGACGAATTCCTGAAAGGGCAGTGGGGGCTCTCCCACTTTGACCAAACTCAGATTGACCGAACGTGGTGAACTACGAGCACGGGGCAGCAAGAAGGGCCTCGAGGGGGAGGAGGCTCCACGAGGGCACAGCGGGGCTCCCAGGACGGAGGGGGCGGGTGTCTCCTCGACTTTGCCCGACGCTTCCGCGTGCTCTGTCTCGCTGCGAGGCCCGTGGGCGGGCCCCGCACTGCGCGGCGGCAGCGCGTCGAGGGGCCGAGTCGTGGCGCTCTAAGCCCGTGCCTTGCACGGCGCCGGGCACTTCACAGCTGTTGATCCTGCCGTTTTCACGGAGTGCGACGTGTGGCATGATGAGCCAGAACGTGGTCCACGGGGCTCGAGGTTGGCCATGCGGCACAAGCCGCACATAGGAGGGCATGGACCGAGCTGTGGGCAAGGGGTCATGCAGCCGAGTGTCAACTACTGCCCTCCTCGTCCTCCCCGTCCGCCTCCCCTATCTGCTTTCCGCTTCCACACGTGATCATCAAGCTGTCATTCCCCCTAACCATTGTGGCTGTTTCGCGAACGTTTGGTTCATCAACCTTGCCGATCCGCTCCGAGGCTGATGTGAACGGCGACGGGAAGCTCTCCTATGAGGACCCTTCCCGTCCGACAGGGGGAGGCTTGTGCATGCGTATCCGAGTTTCTGTGTTGGCGATCTCTTTGCTCACTCCATCCAGCATGCGACCGCTGCCGTTCTGCCCTTGTCTAATCGACTGAGTGGGACAGAGCATTATTCACATCTCCAGAGCTTGTGGTGACCTGAAAGTCTTAGGGCCGAAGTCATTTGAGGGCTCTCTCCTCTCATTTCGCTCAGGCGGCGTGGATCTCGGTTGCGATGTCGGTGCAGTCGAAGGCACGTGGCGGGGTACCCAGGAAACGCCGGCACACTCTGGGCCTGGCCGCGGCGTGCAGAGTGTGCGAGGCGAGCGCGGAGTGGAGCGGAACCTTGCAATGCTTCACACCCCCAGGGGACCAGTCCATACCGGAGCGAGAGCTGAGAGTTTACCCCGAGCCGTCGTGGATCTTCAGGACGTGTGTTAGCCCAACGTGTATTTTCCCTCCCCAAGCTCCTCCGATAGGACGCAGCTTTTTTCGGCCCTCATTGATGGGCCTTTTTGTCCACCACCACCACCAGAAGTTGGAGGGGGGAATCAGGAGGAGGATGAGGAGGAGGCGGAGGAGAAAGAGGAGGAGAAGGAAGAGGTAGAGGAGGAGGAGGAGGCGCCCCTCTCCCTCCAACTTATGGTGGTGATGGTGGAAAACAAGCCCATCACTCATTACTCCGCATGCCTCGTTCTGAAGGGCGTTGGTGGAAACGCATACGTTGGCGCACAAGTTCTGAGGATCATCGTCACGTGTGTTGTGCGTGTGCGTGCTTGCTTCGCCAGTCTTGACTTGATGAACGTCGGGGTGAGTGCCCTCACGGGGATGCGGGTACCGCAACTGGAGATTCAAGCATTCATGCAGGAGTGGAGCAGCGCCATCAACAACTACAGGATGCGGACGTACCTGCACATGATGGGCTTCCGGGCGGACGACGTCCTGCGTTTCATCCGGTTGTTGTGCAAGGAAGCTCCGGAGCACAAGATCGACATCGACACCTTCATTCGAGGGTGTGTTGGGTCAAGCGTAGGGTGGCGGCGAGGAGTACCCTTGCGTCGAGCTGAATTATTCGTATTGCTTCGGAGTGGGCCTGGGGGCAGTCGTTGTATCATTGTGGGGATGGCCTGGGAAAATACGCACCACCATGATGTTACCAGAAGTCCGACGCCGTGCTGCTTTCACAACGAGGTCTCTGGAGATCTCGGCCCCTTCCACGGGACCAGACATTCATCACGAGCTGTTTTTGTTGCGGGCGGTCCTGGACCCAGCAAGAGCCCCCCGAGGCCGAACATCGCCGAACACCGTCCGTCGTGATTCCTGCTCACAAGAGGAGAGGGGGGGGGCACTTGGAATGTAATGCGCACGGCTGGCGGACCAGGTGCATGCACCTGAAGGGTCCCGCCTCGTGCTTCGACATGCAGACCATGCTCGCCTCGATACAATCCGTGGATGCTCGGATTCAGAGCAACTTTGTAGCGATGCAGCGAATGCTGTCCTATGTGAACATGTCTCGGACATGTCCTGACTCCAAGAATCGGGGCGGACGAAGGGGGGATTGGGACCCCGACATCCGACGTTTTGTTTTTTTCGAGTCGCATGCACCCGACCGCCTCCTCCTCTTCCTCCTCCTCTTCCTCCTCCTCCTCTTCCTCCTCTCTCCTCCTCTCTCATCCTGTTTCCTCCTCCCTCCTCCCTCCTCCTTCCTCCCTCCTCCTCCTCCTCCTCCTTCTACTCCCTTCTCCTCCTCCTCCTCCTCCTCCTCCTCCTCCTCCTCCTCCTCCCTTTCGGTGCCCTTTCAGCCCCAGGAAGACACGGGACCCCGACCTTCCGACCACTTTCCCAGCACCGGTTTCTCATCCCGAGTCGTTGTTTGAGGGTCCCGCGGCCCGGCATAGGGCCCCGAGAGGCCGAAAACAATGAAAATTTCTCCGTCTCGATTGGCTCGAGACGCCAGATGTTTGAGAAGGGCGGTGGTCACGAGATCTGCCAGAGGCCTAGAGGTTGACACCAACACAAATATCGGCGGTGTGCCTCCACCGAGTGAAGATGATCCGATCTCGGCGATTGTGTCAATAGTCGGGTTTCTTAGGCGGTCGAAAAATATTACCTCCAGCACCATAATCTATCGGGGGTGGACAGAAACTCCACCCTGACACGTCGATTAGTGAATTTTCCTGCTTCGATTCTCGAGAGGCCGCATCGGCCGTCATTTTCCAGGCCTGCGCCCGCAAGGCTTGGGCCCGAAGTCGTTTTCACGAAATCACGTTTTAAGGAAGGGGGTTCTGTCCATTCCCAAATCTAGGGTCATCATCCCCCAGTTGAGGCAAGCCCCTTGGCATCGTTCGGACGTGTGCATTTTTTCTCGGCGAGGACCATCGAGGAGCATCCTTGATCATGTGGCGAAAAAAACACGCACGAAACCGAAAAAAACACAGGACATGGACGTCCGAGCGATGGCGAGGCCCCTGTGTTGGTGCTGGTGCCCTTTCCCAGGCCTTCAGCTCTGCTGCACAGCTGGTTTCGCCCCGACCCCGCGCCGCCGCGTGCGCTCTCATCGGTGCACGTCGGCGGCAGTGGCAGGGCAGACCAGCTGCAGTGTTAGGTCGGGCCTGTTCCCCTACAGGAAGAATCTCCAAACACAATTTAAACAAATAGTAAGGAAACGATTGCATTTAGTATTTTGAATTTTGTTTGCGTATTCGTCTGAGTATTTTTTAACTGTTCGCCCAAGCTCCGCCTGTGGGGGGACACGCCCGGCCTGAGCCAAGAAACACCCTGCTTGCCTCCAGGGTGCCTCGGGTTCCTTGGGTTTCAATGGTTTCGCTGCGGAAAGCGTGACGCTTCCACGCCACACGTCAATGCACGTCCTGGGGTCTCGGGGTTGGGTTTCTTGTAGAAGTTTTCTTGTGGTCGAGCTCCTACTGTACGCGAGCTGATTGGCGCATCCGCGCCTTCGCAGCGGCGTGCGACGACGACGTCGACGTCGACGTCCCAGGCCCCACTCGCGTTCTGAACAAAAATCACGACGGGAGATGTTTCGTCATGTTCAGCTTCTGGGGGGCCCTTACCGGGCCCCAGGACCCTCAAGAAACGACTCGGGATGAAACACCGGTCCAGGGGAAGGGGTCCAGACCTCTGGGGGTCGACGCTGTGAGGAAGTCGCGACGTCGGGGGTCCGAGGACGACGACGACGACGACGGCGGCTACCCCCCTTTCGCGGATGACCTGCCCTTTTTCGTCCGACCCGACAGCACAGCGCCGAGGCAAAGTCGCCGCAGCCTGCCAGGCACATCGTATCCTTCTGAGCCCAGGGCTGCTGTCACTCGGGTTGACCCAGAGGGGGGTCCAGCGACAAGGGGGTGGTGCAATGTGTTTGGTGCAATATTTGTGGGGTTGCAACACATCTGGGGCGTGCAATACATTCTGGGGCGCATCTGTATTGCTGGATTACGGCGTGCATTGCATTAGTTGCAACACAACGCAATACAACTCTATGGCGCACTGCGTTTGCAATACAATTGCCCCAAATCTGTTGCACCACCCCCTTTCAGCTGGACCCCCTTTTGGGCCACCCAAAGTCACCCAGCGCAGGCGAGCTCTGCAAGCACCGAGCAGAGTTCGGCGGTGCCCCCTTTCAGCCTTGTGTGCCACTGCGCGTCTGCAGGCATCCTTCCATCAGGAGCAACGATCAGTGGCGACGGGCTCAGGTAGGGGAAACGTAAGACTCGAGTGAGCCGGAAGTCGGGTCTGCCGAAGTCTTTTGACGAGCGCGTCCTGGATCTTGACGGTCCAGTCTTCGTGGGATGGCTGCAGCGGGAGCCCGGGTCCAATTCCAGCTTGGGTCTCGTCATGTTTATGGCGGCCCCCGTCAGGCCAGCCCGAGTCCCTCGTCCCCGAGCCTGACGTCTCCCCGATCAGGGCATCGAGCTGGAATTGGCGACACATCGCCGATAGCTCGGCGACAGGCTGCCGATCACGAATCTGTATGTTTTTGGGTGGTGTGGGTTATCAGGCCTCTATCCGCGATGTGTCGCCGATTCCAGCTCGATGTTTCCCCCCGCCCCCTATCTTTGCCCCTCATTCCAGGGACGGCATGGCCAATGCCCGCCGCTCTCGTCATGCGAAGGTCTGGACACGTCATGGTGTGGTGGAGCGTCACGCAGCCACGAGGTCTCCTTGGCGGTTCGCGTTTTCACCGCCTCGCGCCGGTTTCTCGCTGGCGGTGCGCGTCGAGCAACCAGGACGTCTCCCCGCCTGTGCCGAGATCCGATGAGCTTGTTCTCCGCACCCTGGCTGGCGGGTTGTCCCTTCTCTCCTCCCCTCCTTTCCTCAGGCGATCGCAAACATGGATCAAGGGGGCGTGAATTAGCCACGGGCCCCGTTTCCTTGGGAAATCGCAGATTTCCGCCGCCGAACGAGGCGGCACCGGCCGCATTTGGGGGAGGGCACCTCCCCCGATCTATGGATTTGGCGACCGCGCGCCAAATCCTGCTTTTCTGTTGTTGCCGCCTTCCATCCAGCAGAAACAAAGCAGTGGTTGTGGTCATTCTCGTTAAGCTTGGCACCAGGGAAATGACCACAGCCACTGCTTTGTCGGCCGGCTGGAAGGCGGCGCAAACAAGAAGCAGCGGCCGTGGTCATTTTCCCGCCCCGCACCCTCGCCCCCTCTCCCTGAGCTGCGAGGCTACAGGGTGTCGTACCCCCGACCTGTGGCATGTTCTCACACAGCGGTGCGGCAGGTTCGCGCTCCGGGCCGACGCGGCGGCGTTCCCGCCGCGGCCATTCAAGGTGCAACGCTTAAGTCGGGCCTGTCCCTCTACAGGGGGAATGCTCGAAGATAGTCAACAAAATAGTCAGGGGACGATGTCTCGATTCTTTTTGGACTCTTGTTTTGGTTGTTTGTATTTTTCATGTTGCCCTCCAAAAGCCGTCTGTAGCTGGACATGCCCGACCTAAGTAGAACGCCGCCGGTGGCCCAGAGTCGGCCAGAATGGAGCGTTCTGGCGGTCGAGAAGCCGCCGACCGTTCGAGGTTGGTGAGCGTTTCCTTATTCATTGTTGTGCCGATCGGCGCGGGCCCTCGCAGCCCACCCCCTCCCCCCCTTCCCCCCCTGCCTCCCTCCTCCCCCTCCTCCTCCTCCTCCTCCTTCCTCCGCCTCCTCCTCCTCCGCCTCCTCCTCCTCCTCCTCCTCCACCTCCTCCTCTCCTCCTCCTCCATCCTTCTCCTCCTCCTCCTCCCCTCCTCCCTCCTCCCTCCTACCACCGCCCCCCCCCATCCTCCCCTCCTCCCTCCCTCCTCCATCCTCCTCACCTTTTCCCTCCTCCTCCTCCCCCTCCCTCCTCCTCCTCCCCTCCTCCTCCTCTACCTCCTCTCCTCCTCCTCCCCTCCTCCTCATCTCTCTTCCTCTCCTATCCCACCCTCCTCCTCCTCTCTCCCCCCCCCCCCTCCTCCTCCTGCACCTCCTTCCCCTCCTTCTGCCCCCTCTCCCCCCCCCTCCATGGAGTAGGTCTTGGCTGTTTTCGGTGCCCGTTTCGAGCAGGTGGGGTATCCCCCACAGGGCGGACGGTTCCAGACAGCCGCACCAAGCAGAGGTCTGGAGCCAGACGACCCCCCCCCTTTTTGCCCCGTGCCGAAACGCCGACTCAGAAAACGCTAACTCGAACGATCCGCGCGGTGCCAGGAATCAACGCCAGGGTCGCCACGGCACGAACGTGCCGCAGCCTGACATGGCGGCGCGCACAAGGGGCCGGAGGGAGGGGGGAGGGCTTCTCAAAGGGAGCTTGCTTCTCAGAAGTCGCCGGCCTCGCATCTAAGAAGCAGCCTCCTTCCAAGAAGCCCTCCCCCCACTCCCCTTGCGCGCCGCCAAAGGGTCGCCACGACACGACCGTGCCACAGCCCGACGGCGCGCCCGTGCCGCGCAGCGGCCCGAGAGCCACCGACGGGCACGCCACATGCTCGAGCGGCACCCGCTCGCTCGCCCTCTGCAAGGCGACGGCGTGGGGGCCCGCCGGCGCTAGTGTCGCAGCTGAACGTTCAGCGATGGCGGAGCTGTGGGGGGGTTCTCCGAAGGGCTCAGGCGACCCCTTCGCCTCGTCCTCCTCCTCCTCCTCCTCCTCCTCCTCCTCCTCCTCCTCCTCTTCGTCCTCCTCCTCCCTCCACCTCCTCCTCCTCTTCGTCCTCCTCCTCCCTCCACCTCCCCCTCCATCTCCTCCTCCTCATCATCCTCCTCCTCATGCTGCGTCGCGCGGTAGGGCGCAAGGCCTCCACCCTGTGGCGGACTGGGCTCATGCCGTCCGCAGGGCACGGTGCTGGAGTGTCGGGGTTGGCGGACGCGCACCTGCGCGAGATGCGCAACTTGGCCGCGGTGCTAAACGGGCGCAGTGACAAACACCATGTGGGCGTCACGGCATACCTCTTTACTCACCCTTCGGAGGAGTACGACCCCATCTATCATGCCACGCTGGACCTGGTCTTGAACTGCGCCGCCTGAATTTGGGATGGGCGTGCGTCACCTAGCCGCCTTCAAAGAGCTTGGACAGCGCTCCATGAGTGGGTTGTCCCTATCAGTTGGGCAATGCCAAAGGTCCCCTGGCCGCGACGTGGTTGACGCTCAGGCGGCTAGCCTGGGACATGACAGCGCCCCACGTTTTGCAGGACGACCGACGTGGTTGACGCTCAGGCGGCTAGCCTGGGACATGACAGCGCCCCACGTTTTGCAGGACGTCCTGGGCAACAAGTATGACCTGTACCGCGTGTGCCCTGCTGACCTACGACCGCTTTTGGTGCAAAGCGCGCAGCACTGGCAGCATGACCGCCTTACCAGCCACATGTACTCCCATGCTGGGGCGCCCATCTGGCACCGTGGGCTCAGGTATGCGGTCAATGGTGTCCGTGCCGCAAGGCAGCTGGGAGCTTTACAGGCGCTATGGCCCGACAGCAGACCCATGCCGATCCGCAAGGACATGAAGCTCGGCATGCCCATGCGCCCTTGTCAGGCTTGCGGGAAGGCCCTTGCGCCCGATGTGTGCTGGGGCCATGTCTTCTTGGAGTGCCCCGCGCTGCTGACCCGCCCCCTCTGCAGGGCAGATGCGACCCATGGAGCAGGAGCCGACGGACCATGCCCAAGGCCTGCGACAAGCGCAGAACACGCGTGGTATTTCACGGACCCTTTTGCCTCCAAAAAGGGCCCCTGAAACACAGCAGGGTCTCGGCGACCTACGCCAGCAGGCTCACGACCACCTCGAGAGTCGGGCCGACCCGACCCTGCCGTCCTACACTTGCGCCCCGCAGCCCAGCACCATGGAGGCCGAGGACGACTTTTTCCAGGCACCGGGCAAGGGGTTGATGCAGAGGTCGACTTTGTGCCACCCGATGGGTACGACGGCCATCAGGAGAAGGCGCGGCTGGACGCGCAGAGTGTTCTCTGTACGCCCCCGGTTGCTTCGGAACAGAGTGACCCAGTGTCCCCTGCCGCTGCGGCTTCAGCCTCGGCGCCTGATGCACCATGCGGGCATGGCGGGCCCGAGACAGCGTCGCCAACGTTGAATGGCCGCGATATCTTCCACCTCCCCCAAGTGTTGGCTGAGGCGCGCGACCATTTTATCCAAGCGGGTCTTGGATCAGGCATGCCGAACTTCGAGCAGTCCTGCCTCATTTTTGGCATACCAGAGCCTCCCGCCTTTCCCACGCGTAGACACGCGGAGGCATGATGTCTGCCTCTGGGGCGATGCCCATGGCGTTTTTGGTCTCGTTTCTTACACCGACGGGTCTGGTTACGACTCAGGTGTTCCCGAGGCGCGGAGGTGTGGACAAGCAGTCGTTCAGCTTGATCCTTACTCTTGGATCCCAGTTAGGGCGCGGTGTTGACCCCATCTGTACTTGGTGCAGACTCTCGGCCGTGCTGAGAGGTACGCGATCAGGGCGGGGCCCGACGCTTTCGTCATCGACCTGCTGGCGCTCGCCCAGGAAGGAGAGCGAAGGTGCCCCGAGCTCGAGCAGGGTCGCGCCAAGCATGCTAGAGCGTGGCGGGACATCTTCGCGGCCAGCCGCAGGCGCACTCTGCGCCCCCCCCCCCCCCATGCTCCGATGGACGCCAGCGCGCGGGTTTTTGGAGGAGCTTGTGGGCACAGGGCCGCAGGGGCGGCGTGACTGGCTAGGCAACGGCTGGGCATATTGTTTCGCGCGCTGCGGCGCGGCTTCTCAAGCGCCGGCTGGGTCGGCAGCCGAGGCGGCAACAGCTAAGGCGAAACAGCGCCGCATGGTCCTGCAGTTCACGTCGCGGGCGGCACTGCAGGCGGTGGTTCGCAAGCAATGGGGGTGCGACGTGGAGGCCCCCGGACCACCTTGCGAGCAGGCCGCGCCCATTGTGGTGACACGCAGCACGGACCATGTCCTTGCTTACTGCGCCAGCCTCGGATGGAGTCAGGGCCGCCACGGGCCCCTCCCTCGAGTCGCTGCAAATTGGCTCTCATCGTGTATGTCGCCCTTCGCGTGTTGCCAGTGCTCTCGGCGCCGAGTACTTCCGCGCCTTCGGCGAGGGCTGGGTTCTTCGCAGCGACCAGAGGGCGGGCCTGGCCCCGGGCGCGGCCTCGGCGCTCGAATGGGGGCCCACAGCCCTCGACCCCGGCAGCCATGTTGCCACCTGCCCTGGCCGAGGAGGTCGGGGACGCCTTCGCCGCGCTTGGGCACCGCGTGTTCAGGGGCGGCACTGTTTACTGTTGCGGGCGCTGCGGGTCTCACTGTGATGCGGGAGATGTCCGTCCAGTGTGGAAGCTTGGCTTGAGGTGCGATGGGGTCTCGCACAACGAGTCCACGCGCCGCAACCAACAAGATGGGACCAGGCGCGTCGAGAAGGGCCGGGCGCCTCGTGCCCGACGTGCCCCAGCAGCGCCGTTCTCGCAGGGTGGCTCTTCTTGCAGCCGCGCGGCGCGATGATCGACCATGTCGTGATTCGCTGCCGTTCCGTGTTTGGTTGGTGGCGCGGCGTCTTCTGCGGCGGCGACGCCTTCTTCGTCGGCGGCGAGTTGGCCTGCGTCCACTGCCTTGATTGCGACATCTTCCAGCTGCCCTCCTTCTACAGTGCCTCCTGCTCTTACGGCGCCGTGCCGTCAGTAGGCGGCGCCAGGGGGCAGTCCGTCGCGCGTCCGCGTGCGCGGCGGGGGACCTTCCTGAGGCGCTGCGCCCCTCCTCCTCCTCCTCCTCCTCCTCCTCCTCCTCCTCCCTCCTCCTGCTCCTGCTCCTCCGCCTCCGCGTCCCCCCCCCCCCCGTCCTCCGTCTCACCCACCCTCTTCCTCCTCCTCCTCCGCCTCCTCCTCCTCCTCCACCTCCTCCTCCTCCTCCCCCTCCTTCTCCTCCTCCTCCTCCCCCCCCCCTCCTCCTCCTCCCCCGCCTCCTCCTCGCCCTCCCCCTCGTTCCCCTCCTCCTCCTCCTCCTCCACCTCCCCCCCCTCCGCCATTTCTTCGCCCCCCCCCCCCCCCCCCCACCGCCCGCCACCCACCCCGCGCACACACGCGCGCACGCACACACGCACACACGCACACACACACACACACACACAACACACACAACACACAACACACACACACACACACACACAACAACACACACACACACACACACACGCACGCACACCACACACAACACACACACAACACACACAACAACACACACACACGCACGCACGCACACACACACACACACACACACACACACACACACACACACACACACACACACACACACACACACACACGCACACACACACACACACGCACGCTTCCCTCTCCTCCTCACGTTCCTCCACCTCCTCCACCTCCCCCCCTCCTGTTCCTCCTCCTCTTCCTCCTCCTCCTCCCCCTTCTTCTACTCCCTTCCCTCCTTCGTCTCCGCCACCCCCCTCAACCTCCTCCTCGTCCTCCTCCTCCCCTTCCCTGTTCCCCTCCTCATCCTCCTCCTCTCCCCCCCCTCCTCCTCCTCCTCCTCCTCCTCCTCCTCCTCCTCCTCCTCCTCCTCCTCCTCCTCCTCCTGATCCTCCCCCTCCCCTTCCCCTCCTTTTCCTCCTCCTCCTCCTCCTCCTCCTCTCCTCCTCCTCCTCCTCCTCCTCCTCCTCCTCTTTCCCCTCTTCATCCTCTTCCTCCTCCTTCTCCACCTTTTCCTCCCCCACCTCATCTTCCTCCTCCTCCTCATGTTCCTCCTCCCCGTCCTTTTTCCTCCTCCTCTGGTCGCCTGCGGCCCCGGGGGGGCCCGCGCAGGCGGAGCCATGGTAGAAAGTATCCGCGGAGCTCCGCGCGGATTTGTCGGATCGGCGCCGAGGCCCCCGGAGGCGCCGCCAGGGGGGCCCAGCGCCGATCAAGGCAATCCCCGCGGAGCTCCGAAAGTTGCGTTCACTGTGCAGCTTTTTTGTTTCTAGTGCGTGCGCCAAAAGGCCACATTCGGATGTTCTTCGCAAAGGAGGTGCCTGCAGGCCACGTGCCTTTACGAAAGAGGAGCGGCGCGCAGGAAGAGACAGGCTGCCAAGCGGAAGGGGAAGAATCGAATATGGTTGGTAGATGACGGACAGGGCGATGGAGGAGGATTTTCAGGGGAAGGGCGCGCACGGTGACGGGTCATTCTCGCGAGAACGTCCGCTAATTGGGGGAAGGTGGGGGGCTGGCAGATGGGGGGCGGCCAGTGCCGGCATAATTCGCGCTGGCGCAGTTTGGGAAGTGGCCACCCCGGGCACCCAGACGGCGTCGTCGCAAATTTTGACGGTACCGCGGGGGGGGCCGAGGTTCGAGGATCGATAACCAATGTTTCTTTCCCCCCTCCCCTTCGTTATTCCCCACCTCCTCCTCCTTTTCCGTCTCCTCCTCCTCCCCCTCCGCCTCCTCCCCTTCTTTCTCGTCGTCCTCCTCCTCATCCTCTTTTTCCTCCTCCTCCTCCCCTCCCGCCCCTCCTCGAAGAGGGCAGGGCCTTGTACGGGGCCTGATCGTAAATCTTGCAGGACGCGTGAAAGATGTCCCTGTTGGTCAGGGCGGGAGGCGTCTGCGTGCGAACCCCGTGGCTGGCTCGGGGCACACCCGCGTCGCCGCGCTCGTCTGACACACCGGAAAAATAGCAGGTCCAAGAAACAGTTGCACGGCAATCAGAGGAGGACGAGGTACCAATAACTCGTCTACCCCATCGCCCGTTTTCCCCTTTTCGGGTCTCCTGGGAGGCCCCGTCGCCATCGCTGGATTCGCTTCGAAATCCTGCTCAGAGCGCGCCTCGGGAGAGGTCCGCGGAGTAGCGGTATCGGTACTTTGTTTCGGTTTCCCCGGGCGAGCGACCCAATCATATGCAGTTTGGGTAGCGTAGTTGCGAGTATTGCCCTCGGCGGACCTCCCCATAGGGCCGGGAAGCGTGTGAGGAATGCACCGACATTTGGGCGCGGTGAGCGCCTTCGAACGCAGGCCGTGGCGTCTTCAGTGGAGTTCCCTGTGGGGCCACGACGCGCGTAAGGGGCATGACGAGATAGGTGGGGCGGGCGCATGCGAACACCGCCATTGGGGCCTTCGGAGGAGCTCCCTCTGGGGCCGCGAAACGTGTGATGGATGCGAACGTATGCGAACACCGCCACTGGAGCCCTATGTGGCGCTCCCCATGTCGCCACGAAACGTGTTAGCCGTCAGGCCAAAATGATTTGGGCGGACGCGTGCGAACGCAGCCACTGGGGTCTTGGGTGGCCTGTCCTATGGAGCCACGAAGCGTACGAGAGGTGTGCCGAAATAGCCGAGGCGGGCGCATGCGAACGCAGCTACTGGGGCCTTCGGTGGTGCTCCATCTGAGGCCACGAAGCGTTTGAGGGGTGTGCCGAAATGGGTGCGGCGGGCGCATGCGAACGCAGCCACTGGAGCCTTCAGTGGAGCTTCACATGGGGTCGCGAAGTGTGCGCGTGTGTGTGTGTGTGTCTCTAAGTGTCTCTGTCTGTCTGTCTGTCTGTCTGTCTGTTTGTCTGTCTGATTGTCTGATTGTCTGTCTGTCTGTCTGTCTGTCTGTCTGTCTGTCTGTCTGTCTGTCTGTCTGTGTTTAGAGGGGAGGGGGGGGCCGACATGGGTGCTGCGGGCGTGTGTGAACGCAGCTACTGGAGCCTTTCGGTGGTGCTCTTTATAGGGCAACAAAACGTGTGAGGGGTGTCGAAATGGGTGCGGCGGGCGCGTGCGAACGCAGCCACTAAGGCTTTCGGTGAAGCTCCCTAAGGGGGCCACGAGACGTGTGGGGTGTGCCGAAATGGGTGTTGCGGGCTCATGCTAACGCAGCTATTGGGGCCTTCGATGTAGCTCGGCGGGCGCATGCGAACTGCGCCACTGGGACCTTCGGTGGAGCCTCCTATGGGGCCACGAAGCGTGCGAGGGACGCGGGGGCGCTGTTTCTTCACAAAACGAGGGCCCAACCTTCGGATCCGAAACGGTATGGCCTTCCGGGAGCGCCCAATCCTCACCACGTTCGGGGGTGGACAGAACCCCGAACAGTGACACGTCGATTAGTGAATGGTCCGTTTTCGGTTCTCGAGGGGGCGCCGTGGCCGTCATTTTCCAGGGCTGCGCCCGCCAGGTTTGGGCCCGAGGGCGTTTTCGCTAAACTACGTTTTACTAAAAGGGGTCTGTCCATCCCCGACACATGTCGTTCCTCCGTCATCCTCCAGGTCCAGCCATTACCCCACCCGGCATCTCGAGTGCCCCGTGCGCCGGCTGGGTCTGCCGATGTCTTCCCCGGTGATGTTGGCCGTGGGCGCCTCGTGCGCGCCGCTTGCTGCCTGCAGCCCACAGCTTGCGACTCGGTCCGAGTCACTCTGCTTACCCTCCTCCTCCTCCTCCGCCTCCTTCTCCCGCTCCTCCTCGTCCCCCTCCCTCGTCCCTCGTCCTCCTCCGCCTCGCCTCCTCCTCCTCCTCCTCCTCCCTCGTCCTCCTCCTCCGCCTCCTCCTCCTCCTCGTCCTCCTCCCTCGTCCTCCTCCTCCTCCTCCTCCTCCCTCCTCCTCCTCCTCCTCCTCCTCGTCCTCCTCCTCCTCCTCGTCCTCGTCCTCCTCCCTCCTCCTCCTCCTCCTCCTCCCCCTCCTCCTCCATTTCCTCCTCCTCCTCCTGCTTCCTCACTCCTTCAGTCCCTCGCTCAGCAGAGCAGACGATTCATGGGCATGTCTCTGAGGGTTTGACGATTTTTGTTCGCCAATCGACCTCTTTGGATCAATGCAGATACACCGAGGCAAATGCTGATACATCAACGTAGATTTTGGGAGACTCCGACGACGGAACAGATAAACCAAGGAAATCCAGAGATCTGCAGGAGATTTGGAACCAATCGTGGCCGTTCCAGCGAGAGTCGATGGACGGCAGAACGTTACGCCCCCAACGAACCCAGGCATCCGGCTGTTCCAATTTCCAACTAACCTGTTGTTGGGTATTCGTTCTTCTCTTCTCTCCTCCTCCCCCTCCTCCCTCCTCCCGTCCCTGCCTCTGCCCTCCGCATGTCCTCGTCGTTGTCGTCATCATCATCACCCAGCACTGCGTTTCGTTGCCCCAATCATGGGGAGCTCCACCGAAGGCCTCAGTGGCAAAGTTCGCATGCGTCTCCCCCACCCAGGACAACATTTCGCGGCCGCAGAGGGAGTTCTACCGAAGGTCCCAGTGGCGCAATTCGCATGCGTCTTCCCCACCCAACACAGCGTTTCGTGTCCCCATAGGAAGCTCCACCGAAGGTCCCAGTGGCGCAGTTCGCATGCCACGCCCCCACCCAGTACAGCCTTTCGGGAGCTCCACCGAAGGCCCCAGTGGCGCAGTTCGCGTGCGTCTCCCCCACCCAACCAGTACAGCGGTTGGTGGCCCCAGAGGGAGATCCGCCGCAGGTCCTAGTTGCGCAGTTCGCGTGCCTCCCCCCATCCAGCACAGCGTTTCGTAGCCACATTGGTAGCTCCACCGAAGGTCCCCGTGGCGCCGTTCGCCTGCGTCTCCCCTACCCAGTACAGCGTTTCGATGTCCACCGAAGGTCCCAGTGAGTGCAGTTTGTATGCATCATCCTCACCCAGTACAGCGTTTCGTGGGCCTATAGGGAGCTCCACCGAAGGTCCCAGTGGCGCAGTTCGCATGCCTCGTACAGCGTTGCGTGGCCCCAGAGGGAGCTCCACCGAAGGTCCCAGTGGCGCAGTTCGCATACGTCTCCCGCGCCCAGTGTATCGTGGCCCCATAGGGAGCTCCGCCGAAGACCCCAGTGGCAAAGTGAGCATGCGTCTCCCCCACCCAGTACATCGTTTCGTAGCACCAGAGGGAGCTCCACCGAAGGCCCCAGTGGCGCAGTTCGCATGTGACTTGCCCAAACAGTACAGCGCTTCGTGGCCTCGTGGGGAGATCCTCCAAAGTCCCCAGTGGCAAAGTTCGCATGCGTCTCCCCCCACCCAGTACAGCGCTTCCTGGCCCCATGGGGAGCTCCATCGAAGGCCCCAGTGGCAAAGTTTGGATGTCTCTCCCCCTCTCAGTACAGCGCTTCTTTGGCCCATAGGAAGCTCCACCGAAGGTCCCAGTGGCGCAGTTCGCGTGCTTGTCCCCCGCTCTGTGCAGCTTTTTGTGGCGACAGAGGGAGCTCCACCGAAGGTCCCAGAGGCGCAGTTCGCATGCGTCTCCCCCGCCCAGTACAGCGCCTCGTGGCCCCATAGGGAGCTCAGGACCTTCAATGGGGAGCAGCGAGGACTGCAGAAAAGCGCCCTTCAGGGCCCCTGACGTGCCCCTTTAGGGCCCAAGAGGGGACCTTTCGGCCCGAAAAGTGTGCTGTTCAGTCCTCCCCATTGATCGCCCCCATTCAGCGCTGCCCACAAACCCAACCGCTCCGACTTCTGTTGAAACCTCGGCTCTCTGGGAACACAACTGCTCGGAGGTCCGCGCGGATTCCCCGGACCGGCACTGGACCCTGTCCCTGGCGCGCGGAGGGGCCCAGCACCGCTGCGGGCAGACCGCGTGGAGCGCCGCGTGGCGCACCGCTGTCACCGAGGATAAGGGGGCCCCTGCGCTGGCCCCACCTAGTGAAGACGTGGCCTCACTTGGGTCCCCGTCGCTGCACTTGGGATGGTAATTCTTGGCGGTTTGGTCAAAAACATCCGCAGAAAAAGGCCCCCTGCCCCGAATGTTTTTCACCCTTCCAAGCGTGGTCACCTTTTCAAAGGGTCAGGGATCCTTTTGCTGCTGATCACGCTGGGCCCAGGTTTTTGTCTGCGCTGGTTTCTGTTCTTCGAACGCCGTCACGGGCGTGCCCAGAGATCCGACGCTCCATGAAAATTGGACCAGGCTTTAGTCGGGCCTGTCCCTCTACAGGAGGAATATTCAAATATAGTAAAAATAGTCTGGGGACGATGTTTCCCGACTATGTTTGATCATTTTGTTGCATTTGTTTTGCTGTTTTGTATTGTA